TGGTCACCGAAATACGAAAAGGATATTGCCGCGATTGAGAGTATACAGAGGAGGGCAACCAAAATGATTGAGTGGATGGGGTTATGGACTATGAGGAGTGATTAGATAAACAGAGCACTTTCACACTGGAGAAAGAGGTTGAGGGGCCGATAAGATTACGGTCTTTAAGATTCTTAAGGGACTAGATAATACAGACCACGATAAGCTGTTTTATCTTGTACCAAAAAGTAGAACTAGAGGGCACGGCCTGCAATTGAAGGGCGGTAATTTCAGAACAAATTTGCGGAAACACTACTTCACTGAGCAAGTGGCAAACTTATGAAACAGGCTCTCTAGTGGAAGCAGAAAATGTCAATTGTTTCAAAAACAAATTAGATAGATATCTGCTAGAAAATAATATCTCAGGATACAGCATACAGTTTGGGACACAACACGTCAAGCAACTGCCAGGATGGTGGAAGGCAAACTAGATGGACATTGATCTTCTTTTGCCCAGCAAATTCTTATGTTCTTATATAAACACCGGCATGGACTAGTTGGTCCTTGGTCAAGGTCACAAATGATATTTTGTCCACCTGTAACCAGGATTCTCTCTATCTCCTCGTCTTCTTTGATCTCTCTGTTGCCTTTGACACATTCTATCCTTCTCCATTCACCTCTCAGCTAAATCTTCACGATCCGCCCTTGTCTGGTTTCCATGAATGTCTTCTCCTCCAGCCCACGTACTGTCACACGCGGCATTCCTCCGGAATCTGGACTTGGTCCTCTCCTCTTCAATATCTATATGCTCCTGCTTAGTGACATCATCTGCAGACACGGGGTTAACTTTTACATGTATACAGATGACACCCAACTCTATCTCCCTCGATTCCAGGATCACTGCTGTCTGACAGATTGTCTGTCAGACATTAAATGCTGAATGAGAGCTAACTTTCTCCAGTTAAATGTCAATGAGACCGAGGCACTCCTGATTGGCTCCAGTCAGTGCCTCCACAACCTGGGCGCTAACAACATCAGCATTTCTGGATGTACTCGGCACCTCACTGAGCTAGAGTGGAACATTGGCATCTTGTTTGACCCTCACCTGTCCTTCAAACCCCTCGTCGATCCCATGACCCACTCTGCCTTCCCACATCTCTGCCACATCGCACAACCCCACCACTGCCTCTCCCCTCAGGCTGCCAAGACCCTCATCCACACAATCATCACATCTAGGCTTGCCTACACTAATTTGTTAGTGATAGTAATTTGGAACTTATCCCACAGCCCCTTTGCGTCGCCCGCTCTCTTGCCTCCTTCAATACCCCTCCCAAGACCTTCCTCTTCAACTGTGCCTTCGGTCACCCTTCTACCCCTAACCTCCCTGTCCTTCACTCCTCCTGATCCCAACCCCCAGCTCGGGTGCACATCCTTGATTGTCCTGCGCTTTAGGATGTGACAGGAGCTATACAAACGTAATTTGCTGTTGTTGTTGGGCTAAATGACCTGTTTCTGTGCTAAACAATCTATGTGAACTGTTCAATTTACCTTAATGCCCTTAAATAAAGCCACAGAGTTACAGCATTGACTGAAACTGCTTAGCCTATTCATCCAATTCATCCCTGCGCTGGCTGCCTAAACGATCTTTTTTTTTAGATCCATTTTCCAGCCTTTTCCCCATCCCTATTATAATTTCTCCTTTTCAGATATTCATCTAATTTCTTTTTAATGACTATGGTGGATTCTGCCTGAAATTAGTCAGTTCTAGATAGGACAATATAAGCTAGTGTTCTAAGAGTCGCTAATGAGAAGGAACAGATTGGATATCATTACCAAGAGCAAAGGGAGAAGGTTTGATAAGTTACTTTACATAGAGGATTGGTAGGCTGCATGACATGGTGTCAAGTGTGGCTCAGTTCGTAGCACTCAAGGCCTCTGAGTTACAATAATAATAATCCTTGCATTTGATATAACGCTTTTCACGTCGGGAGGACGTCCCAAAGCGCTTCACAGAATACACTGTAAAGTGAATTGACTGTATATTTGTGGGCGAACACGGCAGCCAATTGCGCACAGCAATGTCCCACAAACAGTCGTAGATTGAAAATGACCAATTTATTATTGGCTTTGGTTTTGGAGGGATTATTATTAGGCTCTGTGTGGAATAAGGAAACTTGCCCAAGGTTTTGTCCTGCCTGGAATTGAACTCAGGTCTCTCACTTGCAAAGCGAGTGCTCTAACCACTGAGCTACAGGACTCCACGAAGTTGTATTCCCCACATTGCGACATTCAGCTTGAGGCCAGTTGTGGCAAACCTTATGGCAAGGAAGTAAAATAAATGGCTAGACCAGGAAAAATCCAACCAGGTGTCAACCCTAAATGGGCTAAAGGCCCCCTTCACCCAAACTATTCTGGTGGATAAGGGCTCATGTGCACTTTCAGCTCTAGAGTAACAGTAGTAACTGTGAAGCCTCACTCACAAACCCCCACACCCAGCATGGCTCATCTCACTGATTTCCAAGATTGATAAGAATAGTCAATTATAATAATAATAATAATCCTTGCATTTGATACAGCGCTTTTCACGTCGGGAGGACGTCCCAAAGCGCTTCACAGAACACACTGTAAAGTGAATTGACTGTATATTTGTGGGCGAACGCGGCAGCCAATTGTGCACAGCAATGTCCCACAAACAGTCGTAGATTGAAAATGACCAATTTATTATTGTTTTTGGTTTTGGAGGGATTATTATTAGGCTCTGTGTGGAGTAAGGAAACTTGCCCAAGGTTTCGCTGCCTGGAATTGAACTCAGGTCTCTCACTTGCAAAGCGAGTGTTCTAACCACTGAGCTACAGGACTCCACTCACTCCATTAATGAGGTGATGGCCAGCTCGACAGAGGGCTGACTCGATTCCGATATTCCATTGTCAAGCATGTCACCTTGGAGCCAGTTCGGCTTAAGGAGATCCCGCTTACCGTCCCCTGACCCCAACCCCCCCACCCAGGGGGAGGATAGTCCAGAGGGAAAAGCTGTTAATGTGGTAAAAAGGTGTTCACTTTACAGTATATTCTGTGAAGGGCTTTGAGACCTCTCAAAAACGTGATAAGGCGCTGTATCAAATGCGAGAATTATTATTATTATAAATAATATTTGCTGTAAGTGGCACAGGCTGATTGACAGGTGGCCTATGATTGACAGGTGATCTGTGGGCGAAGCTGATCCTAGAAGGCTGACCGACAGATGGCCTGTGATTAACAGGTGGCCTGTGATTGACAGGTGGCCTGTGATTGACAGGTGGCCTGTGATTGATAGGTGGCCTGTGATTGACAGGTGGCCTGTGATTGACAGGTGGCCTGTGATTGACAGGTGGCCTGTGATTGACAGGTGATCAAAACAGCCATTATCACCCCGATCTTGAAGAAACCTTCCCTTGACCCATCACAGCTATCTTGTTACTGGCCCATCTCAAACCTCCCTTTCCTATCCAAGGTCCTTGAGAGAGCCATCGTCTCCCAGGTTGGCTCTTTCCCCTCCTCCCACTCCCGCCATGAACCCCTCCAATCCTGACCATGTGTGACCAGGCTCCCCATATCTCCTCATCCTCCTCAATCTCTCCGCTGCCTTTGACACCGTGGACCACTCAATCCTCCTCCAACGCCTCTCCTCCCACCTCAACCTTCAAGATTCTGTCCTTGACTGGTTCAGGTCCTGCCTTTCACACCTCGTCCACTTTGTTGTAGCAAACGGCTTCTCCTCCAGCCCCCGCACCATCTTGTGCAGTGTTCCTCAGGGCTCTGTCCTCGGTCCCCTCCTCTTCACCCTCTACATGCTCCCCATTGGTGATATCATCCGCAGACATGGGGTAAATTTCCACATGTATGCGGATAACACCCAACTCTATCTCTCTGCCTCCACCCTCAACTCCAGGACTACTGACGTCCTGACTGACTGCCTGTCCGACCTCAAGTCCTGGACGAGGGCCAACTTTCTCCAACTCAACATCAGCAAGACCGAGGCCCTCCTGATTGGCTCGCACCAGCGCCTCCGCACCTCAGGCGTTGGCAGCATCAGCCTCCATGGCTGCACACTCAACCTCACTAAGCCAGTCAGGAACCTGGGTGTCTCGTTTGACCCTGATCTGTTCTTTCTCTCCCACATCTGCGTCATGACCGGCGCTGCCTACCACCACCTCTGCAACATTGCCAGACTCCGCCATTGCCTCACCCCTCAGGCTGCTGAAACCCTCACCCACGCATTCGTCACATCAAGGCTCGACTACGGGAACTCCCTCCTCATCGGCCTTCCCAACTCTTCCCTTCACAAGCTGCAGATCATCCAAAACTCTGCAGCTCGTGTACTCTCGCGCACCAGGCTCCGTAACCCCATCACTCCCACCCTCACCCGACTCCACCGGCTCCCCATCCCCCGGAGGATCGAGTTCAAGATCCTCGTCCTCACCTTTAAGGCCACCCATGGCCTCGCCCCCTCCTACCTCTCTGACCTGCGGACTCCCTACCAACCTGCCCACTCCCTCCATTCATCGGGCTCCAGTTTGCTCCATGTCTCCCGCCCGACCCGCCCGACCAACGGTGGCTTTCAGCCTCTCCGCCCCCACACTCTGGAACTCCATCCCACGGTCCCTCCGCCTCGCTTCCTCCCTCGCCTCCTTCGAGGCCGGTCTCAAGACCCTCCTCTTGGATCGTGTCTTTGGTCTCCCTCCCACCTCTCTGCCCTCCCTCACCCCTACCCCACCCCACCCCTCCCCTCCCCCATGCTCGGGCCCCGACACTTGACTGTGAAAGGCGCTCTATACATGTCATTTTGTTGCTGTTGTTGTTGTCTGTGATTGACAGGTGGCCCGTGATTGACAGGCGGCCTGTGATTGACAGGCGGCCTGTGATTGACAGGCGGCCTGTGGGCGGGGCTGATCCCAGCTGGGCCTGTGATTGGTGGACGCGGCGTGGGCGGGGCTGCTGAAGAGCCTGAGCGGATGTCGCGAGAGCGGGCGGGGGTTCCGCTCAGTCAGCGGCTGGAATCCGAGAGAGATGGAGGACATGAGCGCAGTGGAGAGTATGGAGGCCCTGCGGCCTCAGAGCTTCCTTTTCGGTGAGCGCGGCGGCCGGGCCGGGCCGGGCGGGCGCGGCCGAGGGCAGTCGGCTCTCCCCGCAGGCGGGGGGGGGGACGACGCAGAGCCTTCAGCCTCGCGGCCTACTTTCGAGGCGCCGCCTGCAGTCAGCCTCGCGCTGGAGTTTCCCCTTGAGCGGCCCCCAACGCCGCCTTCCTCTCCTCTCCTCTCGCCTCCCCTCCCCTCCCCCACCCGCTGGCCATGTGGCGGCAGGTACTGTGTGCTGCGAGGCTCGAGGCCTCCCCCACCGACCCGCCCGCCCGCCGGCGCCGGTACCGCGCGGTCTGTCCTTTCTGAGGGAATTCGCTGCCGCCACGTGGTCGGCCGCGGGCTCGGGAGCTGGGAAACAGGCCTGAGGCTGGGACTCAGCCACGTGCTGCCCCCCCCCCCCCCCACACACACACACCCCACACACACACACACACCTCATCGACTTTTTTTTCTCCTTTAAACATCGAGCAGCTTCTTTGTTCCCCGCAGCAGCGGCAGCAGCGGCGGCGGCGCCTTTTGGTAATGTTTTTAGAGGAGGTTTTCTGAGCTAAGAGCGCATCTCTCGATGAACCTTTCTGAAGTCGGGTTTCTTTCTCTCTCTCTCTCTCTCCCCCTTTTTTTTTCCCCCACAAGGCTGCGAACTGAAGGAGAAGAAGGACTACACGTTGGATGTGGGCGGTGATGACAACGAGCATCAGCTTTCTCTCAGAACAGTGAGTTCCCTTTAGCTCCACGTGGTTGGGTTAAGGACCTCTCCTGTTGGGAAGGGAAGCAAAGGGGTGGGTTCTAGGGGCACAGATTGGTATTTTTATTGCAACGTACCTGTGTACTAAAAGATGAATTAGTCGGTAATCCCCTTTTCCCCCCCCAAAAAAAAAATAAAATTCTAGAGTGGAATGTTTTAAGCAGTTCACACCACGAGGGATGATGGGTCTGGCTATATTTTGTTGGCTGGTCCCCAAGTAGCTGTTCAGTGTTCAAGTCTGGGTACAAATCGCATACTTTCAGTTGATATTGTAATGAAATTAATTTTGCAGGTCAGCCTTGGTGTTGGTGCAAGTGATGGTTTGCATCTTGTAGAAGCAGAAGCCTTGGATTATGAAGGAACTCCGACCAAGGTTGTGTTGGCAGCATTGAAGATGTCTGTACAGCCCACAGTAGGTGCACTTTTTTTGGTCTGACATGTGGCAACGAGCCACCATGCTTTAAGATTAACCAGAGTTCCATGCTCACCTCCTACACATTTTGGAATGGAACGTGCACTCCTCTCTTGCCCCAAATGAATGCATCCTCTGATTAGGGATGCATGCCTGATTCCAGAGAATGTTACAGATAGTATTTGCTAATTTAATTGTTTTTACAATGGAATCCGCTTTAGGCATGCACATTGAGACGCTCCGTTTTGTCCAGCTGAAGCGGTGTCCAATGTTAACTAAAGTTCTCTTCCCGCCCAACAGAGGAACAGTGTGCTGGTGGATGGGTGGGGGAATAATTAGGGACTGTGCAGCTTTTCATGATTGAAATTCTCTTATTAACCAAAGCCCTAACAAGTAGGGTGGTCCCAGCTAATCAACGGCAAGCTCAGTGGCTTCTGCTGGTTACACTCCAGCAGTATTCCCAACACACTCTGGAGTCTCCAAGTGCCTAATACTCTCTGGAATTGGTTGAGCACGTAGATCCCTCCAAGGAGTGTGCATTCTAGTCAAGGAAATTTTTACATATAGGAGATGTGCATATCTGGTTCGAATGATGGGTACTAAAATCAGAGATAATTTGGAACTCCAGGAAGTTTGCTCTGGAGTGCTTTAATTATAGTGTTAGGTTTTGACATATGTCAAACACCTAATTACTACAACAACAAAATTACATTTGTATAGTGCCTTTCACGTCGGGAGGATGTCCCAACGCGCTGGACAGTCAGAGTTTCGGACCGAGTTTTAATTAATAAGTCAATGGCGCATCATGTCCTAGAAGCAGTTGGGTTTCCTTTTGCCAACTTGTATCTGCATGTGGCGGGAAGGAAGTCCTTGTTTGTATTCTTACCATTTATGTTTTCTCTTTATTACAGGTTAGTTTGGGGGGATTTGAAATTACACCTCCAGTAACTTTCAGACTGAAGTCTGGCACAGGTCCAGTTTATATCAGTGGGCAGCACCTGATTGGTAAGTGGGACCCTATGCGCATATACTGCAAGATTGAACACCATAGTTACTTGTATGCATTTTGTTTTTAACCCCAGCTTGCCTTGGCATCTCATTCACACGAGTTGTCTCATTGTTAACTTAAATAACCATCCCTGATAACGTGAGACAACAACAAAATTACATTTGTATGGCGCCTTTCATGTCCGGGGACATCCCAAGGCCCTGGACAATCAGACTTTCGGACTCGTCCAATGTACATTCTAATAACCTTTTAATAGCATCATACTTGTATACCACATTGGCGATGATTTACGTAATCCAGCATCTTAACTGCCCAATATTAAGAGAGAATGCCATTCCATAATTTTATGGTGTATTATGCCCTTTAGCATTGGATGAGGACTTGTCTTCTGATGAAGAAGAGGATGACAGCATGTTGGAAAACTCTTCACAGAAACAGGGAGTGAAACGGCCACCACCTCTTCAAGGATCCAAAACAATGCAGGTATAGGAAGAGGCTGTTGAACCAAAACTGAACTTGAAAGGAATGCCTTTCTCTTACCATGTACAAATTGCTAATGCAATAGGGCATGGGGCTATCAGTCTGATTCAGTTGGTAGGACTCTCGTCTCTGCATCAGGTTGTGGGTTCAGCTCCATGTTGGGAATTGGAACCCCCTAATCACTGACTGACACTGATGCAGTGCTGGGGGTGTGCACCATTGTGCTGTCCTTCGGATGAGACAAACTGCTGCTTCCCCATGTTCAGGTATTCAGAACAGGAAGGGAGTTTCTCCCTGTGTTCTGGCCAACACAGAATTTACTTGATGGCTGTTTGTGGGACACTTGTGTACAAATTGCCTGCTGCGTTTGCCATCAATTATCAGTTATTCAGTTTTGCATTTACGTCGCCTGAAGCGTCCTCTTGATGTGAGAAGCACTGTATTAAGTGGAAGGATAATGAACCCCTACATTGTGTTGGTAGGCGTTTTTTGTACATCTAGGTGTAAAATTACACTACAGGTAGTTATGCCTTGGGGTAGGTTCATTACAATTTGCAATGCTCTATGATGTGGGTGGTCGTCTTTCTCTCTCTCTCCCCCCCCCCCCCCCCCTTACTGGTGTATAGTTGTGTGTCAGCAAAACATATAAGATCTCTACATTTTTAGAAAAAAATGAAGATGGAGGTGGAAGAGGAGGACGACGATGAGGAAGATGATGATGAGTAAGTAGTTGTGTACATTGTTGCGTCTTAACGTTTCTACTAACTGCAACGCCACACTGAAGTGATCCATATGTTTTAATATTGGGTTCCTAGCTTATATTGTAGCAATCCTGCACTGAGAAACTTGGTGTGAATTTGTGAATTGTAGGGATGATGATGACGACGATGAGGACATTGATGACGATGAGGAAGAGGAGGAAGAAAAGACTCCTGCAAAAAAGGTGAGCTCAGCCTTGCAGAGATTAATTGGGATGGATAGAAGTTAATGTAATGGCCTTTCCTTTTGAATACATGAATACCAGTTCTGTATCTTTTTTTCACCCTCTTTCTCTCTTTCCAACCACCACCCACACAATCTCAATTCAGGTTCAACAGGAACACCCTCACATGCCCTCCACTAGAACTAGTTACTGACTAAAAAAGTGTACTAATCTAGAAATGTTTCAATGGCTTGCCTAGAGTTGTATTGGCTAGAAATGAGATCAGAAAACTTGAGTTGTGTGAATGTGAAAAGGGAGATGGGTATATGGGAATTAAGGGGAACAGAACTATTCTCACCAGGATTGTAGTGAGGGTTCCTTGGTGTTTTGTTTTAAGCTACATGGTGATCTATCTGTCATTGGAATATTGGTAATAAAGTATATGGCAGTCTTGGGATTCGCGGGCTTAGGTAGTCAGCAGAACTTCGAGGAACAGGGATTCTTCCCACTCAGCTCTTGTTGAGATCCACAAACCTTTGCCCTTGCCAACATGTGTCTTATACTTTCTGGAGTTAGATAACTAGAATATATCTCTGAAGGGAGAGTCTGAACACATTTAAATGAGCATATATGGAACTCTGTAGCTTCTTTTTAATACTTTTAAGCATGGTGATGGGTTTCTGTATGTTAGTCACCTAACTAAACAAAAAAGACTGCAGAAGAGGTGGAGAAATTAAATCAAAGTAACAATTCAATAAAATGATGGTCAGGCAGAGTGGCCTTGACCATCAGTGCAGAACCTCCGTGTCTTGCTCGATTCCCAACAATCCTTTACACCTGGCATCTGCTCTGACAAGCTCAGCCTTACCCCCCCCCCACCTCCGCCTCTGAAATATAGCCCACCACTGCCTCTCCTCATGTGAGATCCTAATTCATACATTTAGGCTTGACCGCAGCAATGCTGTTTCCTACACAAGCTGCATTTCAATCTCTCCATGGTCTTGCCCGATTTACTTCTACAACCTCCCAAAATCGTACTGGCCCCTCCCTTTGCTCAGTGGGCTCCAGCCTGCTTCTTGCACCCCTGCCCTAACTACCCCACCCCCCACCATCAGGGGTCAGGCTGTCAGCTTCTGCCCGCACACTCAGGATTTTTGTCCAATTGTTCCTTCCAGCTTGCTCCTTCCCTGGTCTCCTTCAAGGTCCGTATTGAGTCTCACCTCTTCATCGTTTAACTTCGGTTGTCTTTCCCCTCCCCACCCCCAATTTGGGTCCCGGGCCAGGAATATTATGTGCATTGGGACGTCCTCAATGTGGAAGGTGCTTGTATAAATATAAAATTGTATTCATTGTGACTTATATAAGTGAGTAACCAGCTGACTGGGATCCCACCATTTTGACATCCTGCGTAAATTGCTTTTACAGCCTGTGCAGAAACCACCAGCAAAGGGCACTCCAGGGATGAAAGCAACTCCAAATCAGAATGGGAAAGCTTCAAATAAGTCCACACCTGCACAGAACAAACCTGCAAAGGTAATTCTGGTGTGTTGAGCAGAATTGGATTGTGGTCAATTTAATAGATTCATTTGTCATCAGTAGTTGGCAATTTAATAGATTCTGATTTAAATATCTTTCAGTTGGCTACAGGGTAATGCGTTTTCTTAATGTTTCAGGCCCCAGGTTTAAACAAGAGACACCAGACCCCCAAAACACCCAAAGCAGTGCTATCTGTTGAGGAAATCAAAGCGAAACTGAAGTCTTCAGTAGAGAAGGTAAGCAGATGGGGGGATGTTTGCAGTTCACTGATTCTTGTACAGAACAATTTTTTAGTGAATCATTTTGATTAGAACAGTGGATGTCTTGTAGTCATCATATGAGAGATTTGTATGGACATTTGTCTTTACTAACTTAAGTATGTTTCCATCTCCACAGGGGTCTGGCCTACCCAAGATGGAACAGAAATTTACCAATTTCATTAAGCATGGTTTCAGGGTAGAGGATCCCAAGGTGAGCATTAGCTGTGTGTGCATGTTGTTCTCTATTGCTGCACATTCATGTATTATTTGCTTTAATTGTAACTTAGCCTTTCAAATCCCCTTCTACCTCTGTAATCCTGTAGCTTTTGTGTCTGGTGGAGTCCTGTAACTCAGTGGTTAGAGCATTCGCTTTGCAAGCGAGAGACCTGGGTTCGATTCCCGGCAGGGTGAAAACTTGGGCAAGTTTCCTTACTCCACATACCTGATGATAATCCCTCAAGAAAAAAAAAAAAATAGGTCACTTCATTCCATGGCTGATTGTGCGACACTGCTGTGTGCAAATGGCTGCCGCGTTTCAGCCACAAATATAGTCAATTCACATTTCAGTCTTGTTCTGTGAAGCGCTTTGAGAGGTCTAGAAGATGTGAATAGCGCTATATCAAATGCAAATATTAATATTAATCTTCCATGTCTGATTCAAATGTTGCATTTCAGCAGAATGACTGAAATGACTATTTGTTTGTGAATACGTCAACCAATTTGCACACGGCAATGTCTTGCAAACAACCAAGAAGTGAGTGACTAAATTCATCTGGGAAAGTTTTAATGTCCCAGATTTTACTTCACCATATGATGGAGGGTACATCTGAGAATGCAGTGTTCACCCAGCCATGTGCTGCAGTGTGAGCCTAGACCAAATTCAGTCATCTACTTTTTCCTTTTGTCTCGCCGTTGCCGGTTGATCTGTCATTCTCTGGAACTCCATTCCAAAATTTATAAAGCAATGCTGCACCTGAACTACTAGGATGTGGTGGGATTTTATGGTATGAATGAGCGCACTGTCAAATGTTGGCATGCGATTTCAGGAAAGTTAAACTTTCAACATTTTAACTTTCAGGTGGTCAGTGATCTATGGACCTGGAGGCAATCAATGAAAGATTCAAAATAAGTACGTTAAGAAGCAAGTTTGTCATCCAACTGCTTTTCTGTAAGATTGAAGATCCTCTCCCACGACTGGAATCTTAATTGGAACCCTTTCAATGTTTCTGGTGAACTCAATGAATTAGTAAGGCTAGTTGCATGCCTACAAAGGTGTGAATTCTGTGAAGACCATGCCAATAATGTTTATTTACTTTTAAAACAATGCAGTGGGCGTGCACGTACATTCGTCCAGAGGAGGTGTGGATTTATTCACATTGTGTTGAGTAGTTTGGTCTAGATTTCCTCAGTCCATCTTATTTTTCTTTGCACGGTTTTAAAAATTCTTGACTAATGTTATTCCACTCGTGTGTTACAATAACTTGTGGAGACGGTTTAAGTGAAGGCGTTGTCTCTATTTTGATACAAATAAACGTTCATACAAAATCTTTGTGGGTATCCTAGAATAAAATGCATTCTTCTCCGTTATCCCAAACTTTGTTGCTTCATTAGCTTTGCTGTGAACTTGGATATATTTTCCATTTGAAAATGCCCCGGTGTGAAGGGTGGTCTATAAATTCAAATTGTTTGAATCAGGGTGGTCAACCTTTTTGGCGTCTGGCTGGATGCCAGATTTGAGAAAACATCCATGGGCCACATAAGTGATATTTTTGTGTTTCCCTTCCAGAAGCGTAACTCGTAGGAATCGTATAAAAATTTTATGTTTTAAATTGTGCAACTATTACTTAATTTTGATAATTTTAGTTGCATTGCAAACTTTAAATGGGCCATGTAAAAATTCATACAGATTGCAAACAATAATCAGTGCAAGCCTGTTAATCCGGACACGTTAGGGGCATCTGTTTTGTCCGGTTTAAGGGTTATCCGAGATCAACTAAAATTCCCGTCCAGCAGAGGAGTGCCGCAGATAGCGTATAATAATATGTAATAATGTTTCACTTGAAGCAACATTAACTTACCAAACACTAAGTATTTTAACCTAGGAGTTCAAATTTAAAATACTCATACAAATTCAGTGAAAGATATTTAATTTTGTTTGGCTGCAAAATACCTTCTCCCCAGCAGAGAAGTGGCAGTGGCTGGTCCCATGGGAAGGGGACCAATTAATGGTGATTGACAGCCTTGAGGCACTTGTGAGTATTTGTGCACCACCCATTCACGAGTGGATCCAGCTCCGAGGAGCTTTCACCTCCCTGTTTCTCTGCCTACTCACTGATTGACAGCCCAACCTCAGCTGCTTGTGAATGGCTGGAGTCTGCTGTCAATCAATCCTCAACTCCTCCATCTCCATCCTGGAGCCCCTAGTGGTTGAATGGAACTGCTCGAGACATTCAACGGCGATCAGCACAGCATTTTGACTGGATTAACCAGATTTTGTCCGAATCAACCAGCATATTTAAACCTGGTAAGAATACAAATGAATCAGGGCCAGGCGTTTTGTTCGATTTACCTGAAGTCTGCCTAAAGCAGATTCCATTATTAATGTCAATGATTGCAAGAGTAATTGAATCCAGAGTGAACCACGAAAGTAATAAATGAACTAAAATCCACATGATAGTCCTAACAATGAATGTCTGGGGGATGTCCCCAAGTGCTGGACAGTCGAGGGTTTGCACTTGAGCTGATGCTGGAGTCAGGTTAAGTACAAGCCATTGTTAGCAGAGGAAGGCCTTGAAGGAAGCAAGATAGAGAGGCTCTGGGATGGAGTTCAAAGGCTAGGGGCAGAATGGCTAAAGGTCTGACCTCCGATGGTGGAGTGGGCAGGGCGAGGGATGTGGCAAGGCTGTTTCAACTTGTCGAGAATAGTAGAACCAGAGGACACGGCCTGCGTTTGAAGGGGTAAATTCAGAACAAATCTATGCAAACACTCTTAGTGAGCGAATAGTGAACCTGTGGAACAGGCTCCCTAAGGAGAGGGTTGAAGCAGGAAGTATTGATTCTTTCAAACAGTTTTCTTTTAGGAAATAACATTATGGGATATAGTACATAGGTACAATATGCGACTCACGAAGATGGAAGGTGAACTAGATGGACTTTTTTTTGTCTAGCATTTCTTAGGTTGAGTGGGTAGGGAGGTCATGGTTAGGGCGGAGCAAGACCATGGCTAGCTTTAAAGTTGAATACCAGGACTTTTAATTCTCTGGGGGTTCAGGAGCCAGTGAACTAGGCGAAAATGGGGGTGCAGGAGAGGACACGAGTTCTGAATAATCTGCAGCTTGTAGAGGGAGGAGTTGAGCATAATAATAATCCTTGCATTTTTCACGTCTTCTAGATGTCTCAAAAGCGCTTCACAGAATTTATTGTAAAATGACTATTTGTGGGCAAAACGCGACAGCCAATTGGCTTCCCTCAAACAGTTGTGGATTGAGTAACCAAATTTTTTTCTTGAGGGATTAATATTAAGCATGTGGAGCAAGGAAACTTGCCTAAGGTTTCGCCCTGCTGAGAAATGAACCCAGGTCTCTCGCTTGCAAAGTGAGTGCTCTAACCACTGAGAAGACTAGCAAACAGGGAGTTGGCATAGTCGAGCTGGGATGTTACGAAAGCGTTGATCCATAATATATGCGTCAAGTAAATTTTTATGTATTAAAATCAAACAAGATATCAAGTCAACTTATAGAGTCTGGAATTGCAAGGCACTGAGAACACAGCGGGCTCCACTCAGCCATGTGTTGGTAGCCTGGCATAGGGCAAGGAGCTGGGCATAGATCCAAGAGTGTGATTGCAGATGTTGAAATCAGGCATCTGCAGATTGAAGGCCAGGGATATTGAGCCTGGGGACTGGTGGGGGTGGGGGGTGCTACAAGGACGCGGGAAACAGGATACTGGGTGCGGAAATGGTTCACAGGCTGAATGCAATTACCCCCGGGCTCCCAGTTGGGCCACCCTGAAAGACAGGTGGAATATATAGTGACGAGCAATGGTTGTCCGCTAAAACTTCTAATCAAAAGGTAGGTACAAAGAGCTGAAAATCTGAGCCAAATAAATTTTGTGCACAACTATTTCCTTTCATCAAGGCTGGTATCAGAAAAATCCTATAGAAGATGGATGTGGTGATGTGTATTAGGTTTCCACAATTGTCTCCATATAAATGTTGGGCACATCACTGCTTGCTTCCGGCCAATCTGAGAACCACCCATTGATTCCCACCCTCCCCTATTTCCGTCAGTTATCCTTCTATCCACTCAACTGCATTGACCTGCAATTTGATATTCATTTCTTATGCATTACGTTATTGAAAGTTTTCTAAAAGTCATGTTTAATAGCATTTGCTGTACTGCTATTAACATGTAAAATTGCAGTAAAGGATAGTGACCATAGGCACCTGGCAGGAAATTTGAGGTTTTATGAATGAGTGACCAATTTTGTCAGCGCAACATTTTGTAGAGTATCATAGCCTCCGACTGGTAGGTGTACAATGTTGTCCACTCCTTGCATAACAATATATCCCCCTATCTGACATTTTCTGTAAAAGGCTTCCAGAATGGAACACAATATTCCTTACTACCCTAAAGAAGCAATTCAAAGTTTCATCCACTGTATTTCACTCATCTATGCTGTTACTTCCTCAAAATAAATTAGACGATTCAAAGCCAAATGGACATGCCTGAATCTTGTCAGTTTATTTCTCATATTTAAAAAAAAATGCAATTTATAAAGCTCCTTGCAGGGCAGGAGGACATCTCAAATCGCTTAAGACTATTGGCTGTGCACTTGAGCTGGGAGTGGAACCTGAAGAGGGCGAGGAGGGAGAAAGATGACCAAAAGAATAGTCAAAGAGGTACGTCTTTGCCACTATCATGAGGCTAACTGTTCCAGATTTGCCCGTATTGAACAATGGCATGTAATTTGCTGCACTCTATTCCCTTACAATGGTTCCTACTTAAGTATTTCTGAAAATTTTAGTCAGTGCTCCCATAGTTGTTCTTTAACTGCCTTCCGTTGCCTCCTTCAAGACCCGTCTCAAGACCCTTCTCTTTGACCATGCCTTCAGTCACCCTCCCACCACTACCCTCCACCCCTCCTGATCCCAACCACCAGCTTGGGTACGGACCCCGGATTGTCCAGCTCTTTGGGACGTCCTCCTGACGTGAAAGGCGCTATCCAAATGTAATTTGTTGTTGATGAAAACCTTTCTGCCTTGGAAATGTTCTCACTTTTTGTTTGCTTCCTCATTGATAGCTATACCTAACAACTGTTAATTACCACCTCTCCCGGTACCTCATCTCCCTTTACTGAAACCAAAAGTACAAAAATACATTGCATGTACTCCATTTCCTTGTTCACAAAACTAACTGGTCCACATTTGCCCTGATTCCCGTTTGTATCCCTCTGCATTATCCAACCTTGTATCAGTTTCTCCCTGACCTGACCAGCAGGTGGCACTGGGAGATTGCAGCCATTTAACAATCCGTGCCTTTGATATAGCTCTACAGTATCACTTCAAAATGTCTCCAAGCCTGTGAGTTCAGTAACTAACAGTATATTTAGTAGCTAGTTTATGACCAGCGAAGTTCCAAGGTCCACTATAGAGTGAATGCCAATTTTACTAAGAGTCTCCTTCCCACTGTTTTCAAGCAGCACCAAGGGATCTTCGACCAAGACAGACAAGACCATAATCTCATCCAAAGGATAACCTCTCTGATTATGCATCACTTTACCCCAGAGTATGAGCTCAGGCTCCTAATTTGGGACTTGAACCTACAACCTGACGCAGACGTGAACAACATGAGTTCTGGCTGCATGAGCAATTATTTCTCAACTTTTGAGTTGTGTTTTTCATTCTGTTATACATTCATAAACTTAAATTTGATATAGTGCCTTATCACATTGGTGACCTGTCTCAAACCGCTTCACGGGATATACTGTAACATAGTGTGCGTGTCTACACTGTGGACAAGTATGGCAGCCAATAAATATTTTTATACAGCGCCTTTCACATCTGGAGGATGCTCCAAAGTGTTTCACAGTGCTGGATCGGTGCAGGTGCTGAGAGGGTTGGGAGTTGAAAGATAACTAAGCTCAGTCAAAGAGAAACGTTTCGAAAGTCGCCTTGAAAGTGGGGAGGGGGGGGCAGCAATTCGGAGGGATATTGGTGAATGGAATTCCACAGAGTAGGGGCACATTTTCTGAAAGTCTGCCAATCAATAGTGAGGCAGATAAGGTGGAGGCTGGTTGTAATTGACCCTATCTCGGTAACCTCTATCAATCTGACAACTGCCTTTGCTCAGCGAGCGTGGGCCTGCACCATGGGCCCCCACCCTACGCATCCCATCATCAGCAACTTTTATTTTTATGCATTCTGGCCCCGATGTGTGGATTTCCATCTTTTTGTCCCTCCGACTCGTTCATTCTCTCCCCTCTTTGAAGGTACATTTCAAAATGTAGCTCTTTAACCGTGCTTTCAGTCATCTTTCCCCTCACAACCCCCAGACTATCACCTGGAGTTCAGGTGTCCATCCAGCAC